CTCCTACTACTACTACGACTACTCCTACTACTCCTACTACTACTACTACTACTACTACTCCTACTACTAGGACTACTACTACTACTACTACCACCACCACTACTACTACTACTACTACTACTTCGTCTTCTTGTATGACTGCACTGCCACCAACGAGGACGACCGCGAGTAATAGCAGCAATAGCTACATCTGCCAGAAGAACGCGTTAATTTGATTCAGTCATCTTTGGCTTGCAATCCGTGCGATTGAAGAACAACCTCCATGCGATTTAGGAACGAAGTTCGTGCGGTTTCACAAACAAAGCTTCGACTGGACAACTTATACCCGCCCATCACGCAAAATGCCGGCGCAGCCGCCGCTTGCCATTCAGGAACAAATGCAACCCCATCCATGCGGTTCACACTCAAAGCTACTGTATAGGTGGAAGCGGCAGTCCGAAGAACGGTAGTGCAGTAATACAAGCAGCACCGGCAGCCCTGGAAGGAAGTACTTCTGTACTTGTCGCAATCAGGTATTCCTCCGAAGACCTGTGTTGAGGACTCCTAACTGTCGCAGAGCTAGCCACTAGTCGTGGAACAATATGTAGGGTAACCTTGAATAAGCTTGAATGTTGCTATGGCCAGTCAGAATAGCATGAGTTCCAATTATAATAGATAACAGATTGGTACAATCATCACGATTCGCAGCACAAGCAGTGTGAACTATGTCTTCCATCTAGCAGCGCTGTAATCATGATCAGTTGTTGGCAACATGGGTACTGCAAGCGGGTCAATAGCAGCGAATAGTCATAATAGTGTTGATGATGATGCTGACCATCCACAACAGCATCACAATTGCTCTTGTCACTACCGTCATCATCATCATCATCACCATCATCATCAACATCTCGTCATGCCCATGCCAGGTTTTGCCACTTCTCCCGGCTCCGCTGGACGAAACAGATTTGTGCTGCATTCGTGGTGACCCTCATTCTTGTGGGAAAGATCTGTTTTCAAGAGGCTCGCCAACAAGAGACTGTGTTAGGCATGTACCTGTAGGTACTAACTTGCACTAGGCACTAAACCCAAGTTTTGCGGTTAAAGGTTCCACGTGTGGTTGGGTATGTTGCATGCTCGAGACAACTGGCCATCCCTTCTGTGAGGAGGCCGGCGCCCATGCCATTCAAAGCTGCCCTGTTCAAGATTCGGCAAGATTTCTTGTGTGTACAGTGAATATTCGTGTTGGTTTTTGTCAAGATCTTACTCAACCCAGCGCTGACCCAAAGCCCTGCGGTATCCTGTCAGCTTCAGGAAGGGTCCCAGGGCTGCGCCTCTGGGAGCCTGCCGAGCATGGAGACTGCGACTCTTTTGGCCTAGAGCTTCGCGAGGCGCTTCACCGCAATCTGGGCGGCTTCGGCCCGGACGATGGCGAAGAGAGCATCGTTTACAGGCTCACAGGCAGGGACAGGGCTTCCTGCACTAAAGGGAAGGAAGAAGCGGAAATAGAGTAGGAGTCTAAAAGTCGTGTGATTTAAGCTCTTGTTCGACAGCGCTTTTGGGACGACTTAGGTGAGAACGGCACAGAGGTCGAGATGGTGCTTGTAGCACTGAACCAGGATTTTAATCCGTGGCACGCCAAAAAGATGGGCATTCGAGATGGGTTCGCCGTCCTGTCTACGTTGGCATCCAGCAAGCTTGTGGCCAACGTGAGTTTCCGAGCTCCAGAGACCCACAATCCCCTGGTGCTGCCTCAGTTTGCATTGTCCTTCTTCGACATGAACTGGAAGCACAAGGTCAACAGCAAGAAGGTGGTGAGGGTCCTTGATGTCTCTGGGAATTGGACGGATGCTATCAGATCGAACGACTCCTCAGTTGCTGTTCATCAGAACATGAATGCCGGCAGCGTGGTCCTGTCCGCGTCGGAACGGGCGGACGCCCTTGATGGCCCTTCGGATCCGAAGCACCTGAGCCCCGCGCACTTTAGGCGAAGCGTTTCTGTGCGTTTCTCGAATGTTCGGAGCTTCAAGCTTCAGCTCGAGACTGGCGAGCGGGACAACCATCAGATCTTCCAGTTCGCTCCGGAAGCAGCCTTGCTGTGTTCAGCAACTCCTACCGGGCAGCGTGCAGCAGCGATTTCGATCCCAAATCGCTGGCTCGAGAAACCCTTGGCAGAAAGTCGCGGCCAGATAGGACTTCGTGCAGATGGGTCTGCTTTCCAGCAATGGTTTGTCGCCCGTGGTGATGTGGTGGACAAAGGAGATCAGCTGTATAGTGTGCTTGACTCAGGCAACCTGCGAATTGTGCCATCACCGGCCTACGGCCAAGTGGTAGAGATGCTCTCTGATTTACTGCCAGGGGATGTTCTAAAGCCTGGCATGAGGCTGATGATCATCCAGAGGCGGACACGAATACTTTGGTCTACTCTTGGGTGGATTATGGCTGGATGCGGTTGTGCTGGAGTGCTCATCGCGGCAGCCTGTTGTGGCTCTTATTCACCTGCAGAGCCTCCGCCGCTTGTTCTGGACGAAGATGACTTCCTCGTGCTCGAGTTCAGGACGCCCACTGGATGGATGCAAACGGGCATTTGGAAAAATAAGCCGCTCGGGCTCGGCTTTCACAAATCGCTGCCTGCAATTGTTGCCTATGTGAGTGACGACGCGCAGCATTCCGGGGTGCTGGCGGGAGACGAGCTCGTAAAACTTGGCACCGCCTGGCCCTCGGTCATAACCAGCCCCCGAAACAGCTCCGAGTTTCGAACCCATGAAAGTGTGAGGTATAAGTGTCTGCGTGTGTACGTGTATGTATGTATGTATGTATGTATGTATGTATGCATGTATGTAAGTAAGTAAGTATGTAGGTAGGTAGGTAAGTAGGTATGTATGTAGGTATGTATGTTATGTATGTCTGGCCCCAATAGTATGGTCTGGTAGGGTGGGTGGGGGGGGGGGGCTCTGGCGTGTGCGGAGATCGGAGAAGGGCGGTTGGGTGGGGTGCTGCTGGAGGGGGCCAGGGGTGACAGAGAGGGCCGCGATCTTACGCAAGCCCTACGCAAGCCATAAACCCTACAACGTAGGGCGTGTGCCTGTTTTTATCGACCATTATTGATTGACCTTAACCTGTACTGAATACTTGAAACCTTACACTCCTTACACCCAGCCCTAAACCCCGCCTAAATGCAGGCTCTAAGCTTGAAGCCGAACATAAACCGTCACAGCAGCAAGCCTACACCCCAAACGCTCCCTAAACTCTTGTCGACTCGAAGCCTTGCAACTTGAACCTTAAACCCTAAACCCCAAACTCAAGAGCTAAGCTAAACCCTGAACCCCGAAACCCCACAACCACACCACAGGGGGAAGAGGGACCCCACACCCCACCCACAGGGGGAGGGGGGACCCATCCTGGACCATGGACCATGGGGGGGAGGGGGAGGGGGTGGGGGCGCCGCGGAGTGCCTGAACATCAATGTATGTGTGCAGAAAAAGCACCTTCTGATGCAGCTGCCTCCTTGCTGGTGGCAGCACGTGGCAGAATTCGGCACGTGGGGCGGGCGCAGTTTGTCTCTCGGTGAGGAGACCTTCTCAGCGGGGTTAGAAAGTTTAGTGTCGTTCTTGCTGCTGGCGATGGTGGTGGCCTTGGTCTTCATGTTGTTGCTGCCATCGGGTAGTGTCAATGTCAACTTCAACAAGGCCGTTATCGCTATCACAGTCACTAGTGTCTGCGTCGCAGCGCTAATAGTAATTGTCATCATCTGCATCTTCAGAAGCACCACCACCACCCGTCACTCAGCACCACCGCCGCCGCCACCACCGCAACCCCCACCACCGCGGCCCCCACCACCACCCACCACCACCACC